ATTAGTGATGACTGGATTTATCAATTTTACCTCTATCCCCAAAGTGAAAGATCAAATTCCTACAGTGTGTTGGTGTCTCTTTCAATTTTGGCATATTGGCCTAAAGTAAAAGCAAATTTGCCTTGTCCAGACAATTTTTATCTGCAATATATTGTAATTCACATTGGCCTACTAATGCACAGTCTGACTATCATGATTGTGAATATTTAAGGCGAGCATTAGGCCTACACACCCCTGTCTGTCTCAGCTTGCACCTGCTTCAAAAGGACAGAAAATAATAAATTACAAAAGAAATTGTTAAGACAAAGTATAAATCTTTTTAATTCAATAAAATATCAATTACAATTAAAGCATTTCACCTTTTAATATTAAATAATTAGACTTATTTCATTCATTGCCAATAGTATTACAAAGAGTTGCATCATTTCACTGCAGCACAACTCTTCCCTTGACAACCATTGCTCTGAATACACAAAACGTAGAAATTCACTCGCATGTATGTAAAACCTGCACAGAAATACTGCATACACCAACATTAACATCTGAGAATAAAGCTAAGGTGACACGTGAAGAATCGTGAATGATTGCGCAATCCATGCACCCACTTCTATAGTCCCATTCAAAGTGTCCTTGTAAACTGGTGGTCCCTGTCTTCACCTGTGAAGCGTACCCTTTTCAGCACTTGCTCCGCGGATCACCCCCGGCTCTTACAGTCCATCAATGACTAGACGAGCAGCCCAGAGGTCCGCGTGGAGTCTCTTAACATTGTCCGGTGGCAGAGAGCAGGTTGCGCAGGGTGGCCAGCTCTCTGGACAGCTGCTCCACGCGCTTTTGTAAACGATCGTTCTCTGCAGCCAGTTCCAGCACTTTATGTTGAGTCTCCAAGTTGCGCATTTTGGCTTTGTCCCTGCTCTTCCTCACGGCGAGGTTGTTCCTCTCCCGCCTCAGCCTGTATTCTTCACTGTCCTTGTCCAGGCGTTTCTTTGATTTGCCGCTGGACATTTTGCCGCTGTGCGATGGTGACCTGCTTTTACCTGACGGGGCAGGTGTGCCGGGCGGGCTGGAGCAAGTCGAAGACGCGGTGGAGATGTTTCCAAGACTACCGCTGGTGGACTGGTAATGAAGGTAGGACCTCATGTCAAAACTAGACGACCCGTTCTCCATCTTTGCGTCTTCCCGACTGTCGTCTCTCTCAGCAGCAGCAGCAGCAGCAGCGGCAGCTCTGTAGCGGCTCCCGACGAGTTCAGGGCTGAGCACACTATCCACACGAGTCTCCTGCAGCTCAGTGTAACCCAGCGAGTAGGGCTCCCTGGGGTCCCGCAAGTTGTCGCACTGACTCGACTCCAGCTCGTTCAACAGCGAGTAGTTCTTGTAGTTCTGAAAAGCTGCAACTCTCTTGATCTTGTTCTCCGCCAGGAAATCTGAGTAAACGTCCCCTTGGTGCTGCTGCTGCTGCTGCGTCTGACCCGCCAGCTGCGGACAGTGCAAAGTTGAATCCAGGTAAGCACTGAAGTCTATCGCTCTCTCCCGCTCTTCAATGCCCAGCTCCGACATTGAGTCACCGAGCCTCCAGTAAGAGCCGCCGCTGATGGGACTGATAATGCTGTCTCTACTGTGGATAGCAAAGCTTCCCTCGTCGTAGAAGCCGGCCACTTCCATGGATCTTAACACCCGCCGGATTGCAGGAGCATGGAGGGCTGAGATGAGACGCCCAGAGTGGTTTTGGTTCAGTTGCCTCAGTTGTGAAATGACTCAAAGGTCGGATTGCAGTGAGTTTAAATCCCCTTGTGTCACTGCCTGTGACAACATGCAGCTGAACTTATTTGAAGTGCCTGTGTTCATGGATTGGGAGGAATTGACAGATATTCCTGTCTCGTGGGGGGGTTTTATTACATGCGAGGGGCGGGGCTTAGCTGGGCAGGTGTGTAACGCACAGCGAGGAGCCAACCGGACAACCTGTGCCGCTCTTATAGGACCTTTCCCCACAATCAATTATTTGTATTTGGACATAATAAAAAAAAGTGACTGGGTCTGTTTTCTCGTAAGGCATCGTTACGGTCAGCTGTGGCAAAGACTTTGGTTTTCAGCAGCAGGATGAAGAGGAAATATGCCTTAGTGGCTTTCACTGATTTATCATAAAAAGGAAACTGAGGCAACTAGCATGAAAATAAAAACTGAAAATACAAACCAACAGACAAACAAACACTCAACCCAGAGCACGCCAAACAACATCTGAATACTTTAAACCAGTATTTGTTGACACCACGTCAATTCACGCCCCCTACAGTCGAAATCTCATCATCTAGAAGACAATCATGGAAAAATCCTATTCACTCAGTGGCAACTTGTTTACCATTTTCTGACTTCATGCGTAATAACTTCATAACAGCGATGCTTGTGACAGCAGCCCTGGACGCATCTCCAGACAGCTGTTTCCCCACAGCATTTACACAGACTAGTTGAAACCAGTCTCTGTGTGCTGCATGAGGGTTGGTGTTTGGTCAAAATTTAGTTAGCTTGGTTTTCTATAGGCTATATGTCATGACCTTTGACAATACATTTGATAATAAACAGCCCAAAAACAAGTAACCGGACACAATGACTTCACTCAGGTGCCATGAACAGGTACTCAGGAGGTGTGGTGAGTTTAAATGCGCTTAATCATCTCCTAACTTGACTCTTTGCTCTATACTGTGGACCTATAGTACAATTTGTGATCAAAACTGAATGATTTGGATTTAATATGAAGTCCTACTGCCATCTTGTGGTGAGCTGTAAAAATGTACATAAATGACATCACAGCCACAGAGTCAGTGTAATCTAAAATGTTTAGATGTGTATCTCTCCATAAAGTGTTTCACTGGTGTTGGGGCCAAAAAGCCTTTTCTGTTTGCGTGTGTCTTCAAAGCATCTCTTGGTTTTCCCAGAATCACACACTCTCCAGCACATGCATAGCTGGTATTATGCTTCATTTTATGACTCATTACAATTTGTGGCTTTCCTGGGAATTTCAGCGGTATTATTTTTTCCTTTTTTGTCTGGATTAACAGCTGTTTGGCTACATTACAATGGTGACTCCGTAGATAGGACGCAAACAAGGCTGGATTAACAAATTAGGAGGCCCTAGGGTAATAACAGCACCAGGTTTTCCAAATAATAAAGGTCTTAATTGAGAAAAGATTCTCACACAAAGTTGCTCTACAAAATTGGGTCACAAGATAATCAATTAGCACAACATGAACTTGGAACTTTTTAACCTGGGTGTCAATTACCTGCTTTGCCTGGTTGGTGTTGTGTGGTTGTGTCTAGCTTTGGACACATGTTTTGAAATACTCAGATCTTTTACTTTAGTAAAAATAAAAATATCACAATGTTTAATTCACTCTAGCACAAGTGAAAGCCCTGTAAAGAATAAATACTCATTATGTAGAATGGCCCCATTCACATTGTCAGAATATTAAAATGCTCGCAGAGTAAATCATCAGTTCTTGTAACCAATAATACAATGTACACTCTGACAAAGGCCTAATATGTACTTTCAACTCGGATACCTTTATCTACATCATGGTGGAAGAAGTATTTAACAATATCACAGTGTAGAAATACTCTTTTACAAGTAAAATGCATGCATTCAAAATTTTCCTTGACTAAACCTATAAAACAATTAGCAACAAAATATGGCTAAAGTACAAGGAAAGTACTCATTAGGCAGAATTATATTATTGGATTATAAGAAAAGATTTATTATAAATGTAGTGGAGTAGTATAATATTTGTCTCCAAAATGCAGTAGGACTGAAATATAAAGTACCATTGTACATTGTACATTGTACTTAAGTAGGCCTACAGCACTTGAGTAAATGTACTTAGTTATTGTACATTTTGCTAATAATACTTATGTACTTTACTTGAGTAAAATTATGAATGAAGGGCATTAGGCTACTTGTAATGGAATAGTTTTATGTTGAGGTTTTTCCTAATTTTACTTAAAATGATCCTATCCTAATGTAGTATAGCAGTAACGAGAAAGTCAACAAAGTGGCTCAGTGATAACAGTTACACAGCAATGTTTATGTGAAGTCTGCTAACCACCATAAGCAACTTGGTCATAACAGACCTGGTGAGGCTATAGCAGTAAAACCCATGAGCATAATGAATAAAGCAAGGGAATGGATGGATTACTGGGCGCCTACTGGGGACCCCCTGACCTCTCTAGCCCCTGGGCCTGTGCCTGGCAGGCCAGAGCCTCTGTATGAAGTGACTGTTTGAAAGTCTTAGAGATCTGTTAAATACACAAAGTGACCACAAAGAAATGAGAGAGGATTCTAAAGAGACAACCACAAAGACACACAAACTGACCACAAATTGACCCGACTTGACTACAACGAGACACAAAACAGCTGTAGACACACAAACCAACTACAGTGGACATATTCTTTTACCTGTTTACCCATGGGCCCATTTTGTCATTATCCGTCCATGAGGAAGGGTGCGTCTTATTGCGTGAACTGAACTTTGAATATGTGTGTGTGTGTGTGTGTGTGTGTGTGTGTGTGTGTGGGGGGGGGGGGGGGGGGTTATGACTTATTTTAATAGTTTCAAAATTTCAATCCTTCAATCTTCACCACTTCCTCCAGTATTTAACACCTAACCTGATTATATGTTGTCAACATTTGGGTCTTTTCTAGCTACAGCAGAAGTTGTCGCTGTAACACACACCTCGGTGTTTAACGTGCTTTATGTGTCATGTAAGCACCGACAGCCCCATCTACCGTACAACAGAGGCTTGAGAGCAGACAGGACGGGTGGGGTCGGGAAATGCGGTCTTTCCCCTCGCAACTCCTATTGGTCACTCGGCTGTCTGTGTAACATTTTTCAATCCGGTGATTGGTTGAAGCACTCATCGACTTGCTCCTGATTGGTCAAAATCATTACGTTGTCTGTGGGCTGAGAAAGTTGATGATTCCGTTGGTTCCTGGCTGTGAGTAGAGAGACTGAAGGGGCTGGGCCCACAGGGAAGAAATGGCGAGAATGGTTAACCAGAACGGGTGTGGAGTGGAAACACAGAACCCAGAGCCGCAGGGACCGGGCCGGGGAGCGGCTAGATGGGGTCCACAACACGCCGGTGCCCGAGAACTGGCCACTTTGTACTCGCCAGGTGAGTCGATCCCCTCAGCAGCTCCGTCTTATGGGCTTGTTCCCCCGGTTCAAGTGTCCACGAGTGATGTGACATAACGACTGGCTTTATATAGTTACCAATTATCAAACTGGAAAAAAACTCCTAAAATAAGACAACACCGGTTTGTCTTGAGCCGCCACAGTTGAATGACACCGAGCAACCAGCCACAGTTCTGGGCTTGTTACAATCACAGTGTTGTTGTTGTTGTTACACAATAAGAATCATGTGAAATTGGTTGAAGTCGTGGTTGAGTCGTACTTGTCCTGTGACATTTCGAGCATCAGACAGAGGTTAGAAGAATCCACTGCTTCTGCTTTAGGCTCAGAAGCGTCGTTTGTCCACGGAGCTGCTTTGACCTTTCATAACAGTGCTGTTGCTAAGTCAGCCCGTGGACTGTAACTCAGAGAGCAGAGCATAACCAAAAACTCCTGGTCAAAATAGTTGTGAGGTCTTGGCCATTCCTCTGAGCCAGTCCTCCCACTATCACTCCTGCCATTTGAACTTGACCACACAGAAGTGAATGGCCTTCCCACCCATTATACAAATACTTGATGCCTTTTGAGCTGCACATATTTAGTTGAGGACCTCACTGGCATGGACGGATTATGAGAACCCCCCCCCCCAATAAGAAGGACCCCTTTGACTTGTTGAGTTATGTCTCTGTGTGGTCGTTTTGTGTCTCTTTACTGTCATGTTGCATCTCTAGCCTCTTTCTGTTTTTTGTTTTGTTTTTTTGCATCTCTTAATGGCTGTTTTATTTTATATATATATGTATATATATATATATATATATATATACTCTTGTATTTAAATACTCGTGGTCATTTTGTTTCTGTTTCTTGTTTTGTTTGTTTGTTTTTTTTGTTTGTTTTGTCTCTGTGGACTTTTGAGTGTCTTTGCAGTTGTTTTGCCTCTTTTTGGCACATTTTGCTTTTTTGTGGACATTTTGTGTCCTTCACCTGAGTTCTATGACTTTAAGGAAACAAATATTTACAGTCACTTCAAACAGAAGCACAGGCCCAGGGGCCGAGGAGGTCAGGGGACCCCTGGGCCCGATGTGCCCATTCAGTAATCCATTTATGCTTACAAGGATCTGAATCTGACAGCTTTGTCTGTATGATGGTCAGACTTTTACCTGCTGGAGGGTTTTCTTTTAGAGATTGCAGCCATCTTTGAGCTATAAGATGTAGGCAGGTATTTCAGGCCCAGCTGCTCAGCAGTGTCATGTAACTAGCAAAGTGCAGAGGAATGTGTCCTCACTGAATGTCTTTGTCGTAACGAAGCATCTGATAATCAATCATGCTGACTAGTTTACTAAACCTTGGACATTTTAGTTTTGATTATGTCACGTCAAGTAAAAGGGCTGTGGACCAGAGACGTAATATGACTGATAATCTTATCAGGAAACTCATGTTTCCAAATCCACCCTTATAAGAATGAGCAGTAGGCTCTTGTGCTCTAGTTGTACTAATATGTATGCTATGTATGTTTTTCTTTAAGGCAAAAGATGTCAAGAATGGATAAGTGTTCTCTTCTGCTTCTCTCTCATGGCCTTCAATTTCATTCACCTCCTTGCCAATTTCCACCTGGGGCATTTGTGGTACATTCTGTTGGGCATTGGTAAGTGCCAACTAAAAAATTATATAATGTCCTGATGTTGATTAGTTCTATTGTTTTTTTTCAGAGCTGCAATCCAAACAAGTGTTGGCTGTTCTCTTTTAATTTGAATGATTTCCTCATCTTTTTTCTGTTCTACTTTCCTCCTCAAATTCATGTTCAGTGGCAGGAATACTCACCGCAGACTTTGCGTCAGGACTTGTTCACTGGGGGGCTGACACGTGGGGATCAGTGGATCTACCCATCTTTGGAAAGGTAAGGTATCCATGAGTCAGTTTCTCATTCTTTTTTCCAAAACTAAAATCCATTGTTTGTTTTCTAAACAATCTGCTTTTGAAAAGAACCAGAATTTTTTTTTCCTGCATTCACAATGTGTATGTCTTGTTTTTCACCCAACTGTACCATCTGATCCATCCTGCAGGCCTTTATACGACCATTTAGAGAGCACCACATCGACCCCACAGCCATCACCCGTCACGACTTCATTGAGACCAATGGTGACAACTGCATGCTGACCATAGTCCCTCTAGCAAACATGGCCTTCAACTTCCTCACCCTCTCCCCTGGTGAGTTTTATATCAACAAACCAAGCCTGACATTTTCTTCTACATGAAAATCCTGTAATCTGATCTAAACTGTTATTTTAAAAACAACCCGGTGGAGGACAAACAAGTTTCTGTCTCACCTTGTTTCTGTCTTTTTTTATTTTCAGCGGAGATTTACCATATCTACCCCTGGTACTGCTACTTGTTTGCACTAGCCATCTTTGTTACCCTTACCAACCAGATTCACAAGTGGTCGCACACGTACTTTGGCCTACCTCGTTGGGTCGTGTTCCTACAGGACTGCCACATCATCCTTCCCCGCAAGCACCACCGCATCCATCATGTCTCCCCCCATGAGACTTACTTCTGCATCACTACAGGTTGGTCTGTTACTTCCTTATGGTGAAATAAAGAATAAGCCTGGTTGTTTTGAAGATGAAAGGGGTGAGAGTCAGGCAGATTTGTCACTGAGCTTTGTGCCTCCAGGTTGGCTGAACTACCCACTGGAGAAGCTGGGTTTCTGGAGGAACCTGGAGGATCTTATCCAGGGTGTGACAGGAGAGAAGCCCAGGGCGGACGACCTGAAATGGGCTCAGAAAGTCAAGTAACACTGCAGGCTAACTGCACCCTACCTCAGAAGACGCTGGCTCCGTCCAGGCTTCTCATCCCCTTTTTTGCCTCACTTAAACTGTAATCCATAGGAAGGAAAACTAACAAACAGTTTCTGATGCCATAGCTTTAAGTCTTGCACATTTTGTCTGTTTTTCAAGAGGAGTGCTTTGTTGGAATTTTTCATTACTCAGTCACTCAGTCACTCAGTCACTCACTCACTCACTCACTCACTCACTCACTCACTCACTCACTCACTCACTCACTCACTCACTCACGGAGATCATCATTTCAAATTGCAATATATCCGTAACTCTCCGTATGTCTAACACAGCTCATCACTTTTTTTGAGGTTATTTACAAAGCCTGTTGCTAAGAAGGTTTGGTCAGATGCATAATTTTAAAATCGCCGAACAAGGAGATTAAAAGATTCCCCTCACGTCAGAAAATTCAAACGATTCCAAGAAAGAATACTTGAAAGCGTGAACACTCAATTTTTTTTCTCCTCCAGAGTCACAGCTGCTCATTTCAAGAGTCGATAAATCACGTTATATTTAGCACTGCTTTATTTCTTCTGTATCAGTCTTTTCATCTCCACCTTATCAAGGGTCTACTTGATGTGCAAGTAATAAAATTGGATTTAGGCTATGGTAGGTAGGAGGGCTGGGGTGACGTAGGATTTTAGGAAGCTTTACCAATGTTGATAGCTAAAGAACAAATCGGTTAATTACTGTTACATTTGTTAACTGTTCTTTAAAGAGAGGTGATGAGAAGAAGTGTTGTTTTTTTTCCAGTGCTAACCAGCGCCTGTTATTGATTCTAGTAACTTGCTACAAATCAAAATGCAGCCATATTTAATAGTTTAGTTATGAGTTTGTCAATCCTAGACAATGACTACAGTTACAGTGCTACTTTACAACCAAACTTGTCCCAGCAGGATGATAAATGACAGGTCAGACAGCTCATAAAACACGTTTTAAAATGAACAAACCAAAAAGAATAAAAAACCAAATTATTGCTGTCAGATCCTGAGCTGATATTTTTATTTCAATTTGTTATTTTCTGGCCATTGAAACTGCAAACATGCAGGATGAGAAATGTTCAGGCTAAGTGGAGATTTGATTTGAAAAATCACATGCGCGTAACTGTAGTCAGTGTTGAATCGATAGAAAATCTGGGCAAATATACATATATCATTACTGTTGTTCTGCTCAATTGTTCTGGACCTACTATAAGTTGTCTTTTCAGATGATCACTGTGTCCACTGTGAAAAGCATTTTTACGTTTTGCCTCCTGGTAAACAGACAGCTCTGCAGGAAAGGGGCACATGCAGTTTTGTCAAGCTGCCTTACACTCACCGTAAATGCAGTTCTTGTGTCTTTCTTTTGTTCTGTTTTTATTTGCAGCACTTCCTCGTGTCGTTGCAAAGGAAATTCCGTCTTTCTGGGATCTGTGTCTCACTTAATCAGTCACAGATACTCCAAAGTGATGTGCCAACTGTATGTTACATTGTTTTCACTCTTCACATCTTTGCTACTCGTTTGTAATGTGGGAAGGAACTGGCAGTTTCAGAACGTAACATTCCCCGTGAGTAATGTTGCCGCAGCGTACCGTCTTGGTAACTGTGACAAGTTGACTTGGTGATGTTACAAGGGCTTCAGTGAAGGCTGACGATCCAGGAATTTCTTCACTCCTATAGATGAGATTATGTAATTAATTAATTGGTCGAGAGTTTTTTTAATGCTTTAGTCAGTAATTTGTAAATGTATTGTACAGCAAATAACTATGCAGTGTAATAAGAGGCCATTAACTATACGTCTTAACTCACATGATTAGGTTAAAAATGCCTTTCTTTTTTAATTGTTTACACATATTTACTTAGTTGGAAAACTGGAGCTCAAAAAAATTAGCTACTTAATGAACTGCATGACAAAATTACTTTTACTAATGAAGATGTCACTTACACAGACATAAGAATGCGTGCATGCATAGAGCATGTTGGCTTGTGCAAGCAATATACTGGGTCACCAGCTTTCCTTTGAGTTTGTGTAAAGCAGACACTGACCAGGGAGGATTGTGCTCGCTCCTGATGAAATTAATTGTACTTCGTTCAAAAGATGACCCCCAAACTTTGACCAAATGGTCCCAGGTTTGAGCTACCAAAATATTATCTTCATTCCAAGGAAATCCTGGCAAAGGTTTTAGGGTTTAAATGGGAGACCCTAACCTTGCTGTTCAGTTGGGCTAACCAGGCTGAAGGCTTAATGATCAAGCTTTTGGTCTTATACTCCAAGTAGATAATTTAAATATACTTATAGTTCACTTTGAAACCAAAATTATGTTTTATATTATGTAATATTCCAGTTGTTGAATCCTTCATACTTGATTATATAAAATTATTCACCATAGGTCAACAGCAGACGTTCACTACGTTTGCATAGTGCTTGTAGAGTATTGTGAGGAGCAATTCTGTGTGCGCTAGGTGGTGTAATGTATGCTGGTAAATGGATGGCGTTATGTGTCACTGCATCAAAGTTTAAAGCCTGCATATAAGTTCTACTCCTGTAGTTCTTTTTTGATCAGTATCAGTATTCTTGGGGCACCGCTGACTGCAATCAGTAGACACATTTGAACTTTGACACACAACTTATTTTCTAAATAGGACTTTTTGCGTTGGCCCCTCTGGATGTTTCGGCGCTTCAGTAAATTTCTTTTTGTGGTAATATAAAAGTAATGACAATTTTAAGGACGTTTTGTGTTTTTGTAATACTGAAAAATAGGACAAGCTAAGGGCAATGCTTAGAAATACTAGACATGACATGCCATAATTAGTTTGGAGACAAAACTGACAACCTTACACAAAAACTATATGGTGAACTCAGAAGGAACCCATACCATAATAACCTTTGCGTAGAGACAGACTTCCTATAATTGCTATTTATAGCTGTTGTAGTTGAGAGTCTGGTTTTTGAGTATGGATCTAACATGTATTGACTTATGTTTCATTCTTATTCTCCAGATGATCTCAGGATTGTGGTTAAGGTGATATTAAAGTAGTTTAGTATGAATTTGTAAAAAAATAAAATCACAAAACAAAGCACTCCATTAGTGAAGTTAAGGCCGTTATTTAATAGATAGATCAAAGTTGTTTAAATCACTTATTTCTATCAAATTTTGTTTGTTGGCCATAGTAGCCGAATGATTTTTTAAAATGCAATATAGGTTCTGTTGTAGCCATATCAGTTCAGTTAACTTGGCCTCTTGTTATTGAGGTAGAATTTGTGATCAAGCTGTGTTTGGTTTTTTCTGCTTAAAGGCAATGGGCTTTCATTAGTGGATTCGAAGGGTATTTTGTGACAATGTGTGGTTAACTAAATATTTTCCCACTGGAAATAATTTTGTGGAAACAAATGAACTTGTTAGTAAGTGGGGTGGGCAGTTGTTGGTATGTTTGACATGCTGTGTTATAATTGCTTTTGTATTGATCCTTGGACTTTTTATTCAATTGCCTTATCCTCTCCTTAATTGATTTACTGTAAATCTTGCCAGCGATATGGGAAAACACTTCATTGACTGACTTTAAATTGCCCTTCACTTGCCTCTCACTTCTTCTGAGGCAAGACCCATATGGATGTTGTAGTTGGTTATATATGCTGGTGGTGATGGAGTTTTAGATATCAGAATAATGCCTTGATGCCTTTTTGTTGTCTTCCATGTTGGAGACTTACAATGTATATATTAAACTGTATTTATAAATAAACTAAATAAACAGTTGATAATTACCGCTTCATTCTCTGATACATTTCTTTCTTTCTTGGCTGTGTTTAAAGATGTTGTAGCTGGATAATTAAGCTTCACAATCTTAATATTGTTACATTCCTCTTTCTCTGCCTGCATAATCTTACTCTATTGTGGGTCTACAGTCAGAGCAAAGAAGGTATTTTGACATGTCACAGCAAGAAAAGCACAGATGGTGATGATAAAACTGAATAACAGAGCCACTGTTAATATTATTAATAGCACTTGTTCTTTTCTTACAATAAGAAATCAAAATGTTTGGGCTTTTAAGAAATGCTCTAGTGCCTGCTGGGAAGGCCTCTATCAGGCCTATAAGGCTTGTGATATTCAATACTTTTATTTGATTCAACAAATGCCCTGAAAAGACGAAACCCAACATTGTTAGTGCATCTTTCAATACATTTCTACATCCCTACCATGTTTGTGGAGCTCCAGCCCAAGCTCTGAAAATTTAAATCTTAAAAAAAAAATTGTAGTACACATTGTAGTAAAGTCAAAACACTCAAACAGGAGTGTTAATGTACTACTACAGGTGTAGTAAGCATTTGCTGAGAACCATTTAGTGAGTATTTCTGGCAGCAGGATGGTGTAAGTATCAGGATAAACTACAGTGCCCGTGTTTATAGTAATAAAGGAACATGTCATGTAGTTCAACAGGGAAGTGTTTTTAATCGTTTTTTGACAACAATGAAGCTCTATGGCTCAGAAGAACAAGATACATCAGGTTTTGGCTACACAGGCAATACTTGTTGGTGAATTCGTCTCGTTATTATATTTGGTCTTTATTGGAATTTTACAGAAAAATATGCAATAAAGACAAAGTTATGTTCTAAATGGCCACGTATTGTCTGTCAGACTATTGGCCAGAAAACAACAAAGGAAGCGATGCTTTGCGTTTCTTCCACGCGCACGCACCGTTGGCTACAATGGCAAAGCTACGTGCGCGCTCTCGCTGTGTAGCGACAAGATGGCGGTCGCCGCCGGATCAGGTAAATGTTCGAGAGAAATAAATCATAATTAAAAGCTCTCGTTAAATAATCGGCTCAATGAATTTTCGCGATCTAGCTATCAAGTTTCATAATGAGGTTGATTATCTACTGACGCACCCGCTCTGTGAAAAGATGCATGCTAACGCAAAGCTTAAGCCGCCGAAGAGAATGAATAGGAAGCGATGCTATTAGCTAAGCTAACGTAAGTTAAGGTGGATAAAAGGAAATGCAGTATGACTGCCGATAGAGGAATTTCATGTCGTTTAACGGCCGTGTGACAATTTAGCCCCAGCCATCCGCATTTATAACATTGTGTAGCTTGTTTGCTTTCATTTAATAATGTGATTTCGTATGGTGACAGTCCTGCGCTGACGCTAGTGAGCCACACCACCGCCTCCCTAACGTCCGGGTTACGTTAGCTCATTTGCAGCATAAAATTGTTTACCGACTCCGAATACGGATGTGACACAAACCCAGTCATTTTCGTTAAATGTCATTAGTAAATGTTAGGTGAATCAACATTCAGCCTTCGTGCATAATTAACAGTAGATTATTTAATGTCAACAATGACGGCACGTTTACTGAGATACCAGTCACAGCTAATCAAGAAAACATGATCTAATATTGTGCTGAGTTTCAGTGAGGGCTCTCTGAGCTTGATTGCTGCATCAGCCGGCAGTGTGACTGTGAGTGTTTGCATGGCTCAGTTAACAGTGCAGCACCATCATATCTCACTGCAGAGGCCAAATGATGCAGCACCGTCGAAGCCACATGCTAAATTAAAGGAAATGACTAACGTCTGCCACTATCAAAAGGCTGATGAAAGCTGGTCGACTGAGGCGTTCCTTATATTTCTCTGTGTGGGAGAGTCATGCCACAACCAGTTCATACCTTTATAACTGCAAGTCATTTCTCTAGCAAGATCGGTGGTACCTAAATCCACTTGTCATGTTGGAAATGTGCATATGTGAGTGTAACAGTCTTACTTTGGTGTGTTTGTCCACAAACAGCCGTTAAAGTTCCTCGCAATTTCCGGCTCCTAGAAGAGCTGGAGGAAGGCCAAAAAGGTGTGGGAGATGGGACAGTGAGCTGGGGTCTGGAGGATGATGAGGACATGACCTTAACACGATGGAGAGGGGTGATCCTTGGTCCTCCTAGGGTGAGTGGTGGTATTTTTTAAAACACTGCTCACTGCACAGTCATCATTAAAGTGGTCAAGAAGGTAACAGACTGTCATGTAACCAAAAGGTCTCAGCTGTGCAGTGTCTGCTGACAGTGTACCAAGTTGTAGACATGCACTAGCTTCACACTGCTGTGAATGAGTACCTCAGCTGAGTTATCTCATTTAAAGCAGGCGCAAAGGGATGGAGTGTAATGAATGAAGTGGTGCACTAAAAGGTCTAAGTCATGGTAAAATATTACAACATATTGACAGGAAGCAACAGGTACTACATTACAAAGCACAGAATTAATTCCCTCTTGGATTTAGCATTGATTGTTTAAATGCTAACACTCTGAAAATGTTTCTTTTTGATTTGGTTTTCACTACCTTTTGAAGGGTGGATTAATACAACTGCAGCTCAATTTCCATCCGTAATGTATATAATTAGACCTCAGCACCTCAAAGACCTTTATAGGAGGATGGTGGATATTAACTTCTGTCAGACTACAGCTGATTCAGCCGATTGGCGTCCTTTATCCAAACATATTTACTGTTCCTGTGGAACTGGGTAAAAATATAGTTACATTTTTAATGGTCATAACCATGATTTGGATTGTTTTCTTCCACGAAGTTCACATTGATGGTATTGTTAAATTCACTGAACATTGTGTGCTGGGTGTTGATGTTTAGTGTGCTGTCCACTCACCGCTCCTCACTTGTCTCTGTCCACAGACAAGCTATGAAAACAGGATGTACAATCTGAAGGTTGAATGTGGGCCAGGATACCCAGAGTCACCACCGTTTGTCAGATTTGTGACAAAGATAAACTTGAATGGCGTGCACACCTCCAACGGTGTGGTAAGTAAATTGAAACCAGCTGTTACTGTAGCTTGACTGATTGATTACATGCCTTTGCTGTCTTTTTAAAATATATGATTGTCTTCTTGATCCTGTTCTTGCTACACCGATAAATGTATTTGGAGAAAGAACGGCATTTGGCTTATGTTAATTTTGTAATTAATAATTACATTACATTATTTAGGAGCATGTGAATGCAACACAAGGCATGTTTACACATTAAAGTAGCATTTAAGAAATAGGGTTAGGGTTAAATTAAGGGAGCAACAATTAAAGGAGTTTTTTTTATGTTTTTTTTGCATTCCTTTGTCATGCGCGCTCTGTGTACTGGTCGTTCCAGATTGACAAGTTCCTTCTCTAAGTGCATTCTTGAATCTTCTGACAACTAATGTAACAATTACATTAATTCTGGCACAAGATGTAGAGCAGTGTACAGTATGTGGTATGAGACATTCACACTAACAGTTTTTGTTTTTTTTCCTTATTTGATTTGTCCTATTTTCTTTTTTTTCTTTTTTTTTTTTTTTAGCTTATCAGTCATCTGTGAAGCACTTCAAACTGCACTAACCTGTATGAAAAGTGCAATGCAAATAACGTTTGAATGAATATGACCAAGATCAGACCGAGAAACCGCACCAGATCCACCAGAAGGAGTTGGTGTTAGGTTGCTTTCACTCAAACTGTAGGATGTGTATTATTCTTGATTTAGGAGCACAGAAAACATAATTTCATAAGGCCAACATGACACACTTTTCCCTAGTAGGGCAGTGGAGAACATGTACTTGCTTTTTCCATTTCTTTGCAAGTGGTTGTGCTTCTTCCAAATGCGGCTACAAGCACGCATTTATTTTTTTCTGTTTTTTTTAGTGTAATAATAATAAATTTAACGAGTGCCAACATTGTGTTCTGATGACTATGGAAAACACTTGAAATTTAATGAAGAAAGCTTTGCTTAAATATACCACAGATTGAACCAAATAGATACCATGTTTACAAGCAGTTAGTCAGTTAGTGGGGGGATGAAGACAAAACCAAGGTGTGGACTCAAACAAAACAGTGTGAAAACTGATCTGAGATCTACACCATAAAATATCTTAAAATCCAACATTTGTCATTTAGAAAGGTGAAAGCTAAGACTGATGATTTCTGTTGTGTCTAATGCACAGCGCAAATTGTCCTAAAAAAAAACAATATGCAAGGGTTCATTGTGTTGCATCACATGCATCCTTTCTTGTTCTCTGTCCCCCAGGTTGACATGCATGCGGTGACTGCACTGGCCAAGTGGCAGAACTCCTACAGCATCCGGATGGTGCTGCTGGAGCTGCGACGGCTCATGACGTGCAAGGAAAACATGAAGCTTCCTCAGCCACCCGAGGGCCAGATCTACACCAACTGAGCCCCTGCTACTTTTGCCTCCATCTTTTATCCTCCTTTCCACTCCTCTCCCCCAACTCTTCTGTTTTGCTTTCATCCCTTTATCCCCCATCATCCGCCATGTGACATTCCACCACCTGCCAACACCTTGGCTGAGCACACACAAAGACACTCAATCACACACACACCCAAGTATACAATGACAGGTACACACACACACACACACACACACACACACACACACACACACATACATCTGTATACACACTTAATGAGCATTCATGAAAATCATTCCAGGCCCCCGGCCCCCTCTCCCTTTCCCATCACTGGAGCTCTGGGTGGACTCGATGTGACGAGGCAGGCGGAGTCCTCAGTCCACACCAGATATGATCATTCAAATACTGTACATCTAACTAATCTTTTTTTTATTATTATTTGTTAAAAAATGCAGATTGTACAATAACATAAATAATCTTATTGAGTGTACCTCTTTGTCTGTTGCCTTTTTGTAACATTGAAAACGGCCACTTAACATAATTGCACATAGTTCACTAGGCAGTTGGTTGCTGTAATCATCTCTCAAGGTTTACGTATAAAACCCCCACACCCAGAACACATTTAACTTGGCAAATAATGTGAAGAATGTCTTGTCATGTGGCCAGATGTCTAAAAATAATATTTAAGTCAGTGTATGTTGACATGGGCTTGCACAAATTTTTTTTTTCCCCCCCCCCAACAACACCCTTATTAAATGCATGAATGCAGCTCAGCAAGGTGCCTGGAAGTGGTCACCTTAGTCACACATGGCTTTTTTTTTCTCTTCTATGTAAGAACTGTCCAAAGTGAACGTTGTATCTATGCCACTATATCTGATCTTAATATGCATATTAGCATACTGGTAGTATGCATATCTGCTGTAGGTCTGCAGAAGTCCCAGTTAAACCATGCTTGAAAACAGAAGTGAAATCAGCTACCTCTTTTGGTCCTGTGTAACGTCAGGAGTTATCTGACTTGTGAAACTGTCTTTGCTACTTCATGTGACAATTTGTTTTTACTTTCTCCACTTCTTTCATAAATCTTCATGCTTTTCATGCATTTGTGTCGTTGTAGATCACTACAAGTGTTAGTGCTTTTGGGTCGCAAGAAAGTTTCGTGGAGCATTTCTACATAATGTCTGGTCTTATGTACAGTGTTTATTTACATAACTTGAATGGCCCTAGCAAATTCAGGAGAAGCCTGATGCAAGCGCAGACCACTTAAAGGAAAAGTTCAACATTTCTGGGAAATGTTCACTTTCTTGCTGAGAGTTAAATAAGAAGATTGATTCCACTCTCATATCCATAAGCGGAATATGAGGCTAAAGCTAGCATGTGCTTAGCTTAGCATGAAAAAGACCCAGCATCTCTAAAGCTCAATAATTAGCCCCTCATATATTGTTTAATCCGTACAAAGTCACTGACCCTGCAAAGAAATGGTTCTAGTAGTTCTTGGAGATAGTTTTTTTTCATGTTACTCTTGGCAAGAAAGCGAATAAATACATTTCCTAAAGTGTCAAAACTATTTCTTAAAGATTTTACTCACAATTAAGCTCTTACATGTTCAACATCACAGTTTGTGCTTATTGGTAAAACATCTTTGCGTGAAATGTTAGTGGTCAGTTTTGTGCGGAGACAACTTATAAGCAGTGGTGTAAGAAGTCCTCAGATCCTTTACATGAGTAAAAGTAGCAGTACCACAGGAAATAATAAAGTTCATTCATTCAAAATTTTACTTAATTAAAAGTAGAAAAGTATTGGCATCAAAATATACCTAAAATACCAAAAGTAACAGTACTCATGCTGAATGCCCATTTCAGAATAATGTATATGATATTATTGTATTATAATTATTGATGTATTAATGTGAACATCACTTTAATGTTGCAGCTGGTAAAGGTGGAGGTAAATTTAAATGCTTTATAAACTGCTGGCTAGCCTGTGCATTTGCCCCTGGCAACCAATTAAGTCTTCTGTTAATCTATAATACATCATGTTTTATTAATTGGTTAGTGTTTGTATTATTAAACTGAATCTGTAAAGTAAAGCTTTAAAATAAATGTAGTAGAGTAAAAGGGACAATAGTTCCCTCAGAGATGTAGTTGAGCAGATGTATAAATTGATAAAATGGAAATACTCAAGTAGAACACAAGCATCTCAAAAGTATATTTAACTACAGTACCTGAGTAAATACCACCTACATTTAGTTAAATCTTTAATACATGCTGCTGGTATACAGTGATCTTTTCTGTTTTATATCTACACTTTTTGACATGGACCAACAGAAAAGGCTTAAACCTGTAATAATGTATTTATTTTTTGGCCACTTGGGGGCAGTAAACACAATTAAGCTGTAACTTTAATACATTCCTGTTAATAACAGCTCTGTTCTTGGTTTCTGCCAACTTCTGGGGGAAATATCTGGTTCTTCAGCAGCTTAATGCTCCACTATGTCCACGAGCTAAACTGTGTCCGTCTGGTGATGAGAGGGTGGTGTTTACAGTGGGTTTATCAGACCGTTGTCTGTAAAAACAGCTGCAACCAGAAAGACTGCTATGAGAGCAGTGAGAAAGAAATCAAGAAAACCAAAACATCTGACAGATGAGCAAAGGCCAAAGGGTTACAATCCATTATTTTAATAAAAGTTTGAATTGGAAACAGGAAAAAAAGATTAAACATAAGATATGAATCTAGACATAATGATTCCTTACAGTGAGTTTATAATTCAACAAAGATAGCTTGTCCAACACAATATTGTCAAAAACCCACTAATAACTTCACCATGACTGAAACTCACAGAGCTGTTAAGGGTAGAATGCATTGTTAAACTACCAAATAAGGCCAACTTACGTTTCATTTACACAGTCGAAACTATGGAAGTTTTGAGGATCCACATGAGGTCAGCTAGCTTTCTATGTTCAAAGAGAGTAGTTAGGACAGTTAGAAGCAGTTAGGACAGGTAAAACAAGAAAATCCTTGCATTTCACTTTAGTGTTTCCATTTTCCGCTACTTTATACTTGTACTCAACTACATATCAGAGGGAGAATATTGTACTTTTTACTTCATTAAATTATTCTGTTGTTTATAGTTACTTAATGAATTAAAATTTTATATATAAAGACATGATGAACTCATAAAATATGATTCATTTTCATAAATTAACTATGAAAAATAGTTCAAATTACCTCCACCTTGACCAACTAACTACAATGCTACTTACTCATTATAGCATCAGTAATGATAATCTAATAACATATAGTTGTGTAACTCTCACAGTACTTTTACTTTTTTCATATATACTATTTTAATATAGGCTAGTATAGTATATTATATATTTATGCTTTTGTATTTTTACTTAAGCAACATTTTATGTACAGAACTTTTTACATTGTGGTATTACTTCTTTTATTAAAGTAAAGCATCTGAATACTTTTTCTTCATCATCGAAATCTGTCAATCAATACATTTTCATGCACACTTCCCCTGTTATGTCTTGTTCTTGTTCTTGTTCAAATTATATTCAGATTATGATATGGAACATAAACTGGTTAATATCTCTGTATGGTTCTAACATCATCATCAACATTGATGACCTATCAGGTCATCAATACGATAACTTGATAAGATAACGTTTTATGAGACAATATAATTTCCCCCCTTATTATACAACTTACAGTGCACACTATAGGCCTGCATCAAAACAAATAAAGCAGTTAAGTTATAGCTTACAGTTGTCTTATATTCTTTCTATGATATGCATACAGAGAGGATGTGGGGTGAATCTGTTGTGACAGGATGGTCAAAACAAGATTAAGATTTGTTAACCTCAGCAAATACTGATTTTTTTTTAAACCAGCAGCAACTCTTTATAGGTGTGGTTCACTTGCAAAATGTTGCGAAAATCTACCGAAACAGAAGCAAAACTTGCACCATGCTTGGGTTGTTTACTGCTTCTCACTGTCATGTCATTAACTGCCATTGACCGCTATTTTTTACATATTTATTTGATATTTTATTTTTGTCCTTTTCAATTATTTTATTGCCATTTGTGAACCACTTTATAACCACTGATTATGGTTGTGTTCTATAAGTAGGCTTTATTATATTATTGCAGTGGAAAGTGTCATTGATATATGCTGGCATTACAGCAAGAGCACTTTTCTGTGGATAAACATAACTTTTGTCTTATTTTTAGGTAACTAAAGTTATCAAAGTCCACAGGCAAGAAAACTAGCTAGGCGGTCTGAGGGAAAATACAGATGAGGTAAAAATAGCAAATATTTATCGAAAACACCCAAAGCCTCAAGCTAAGATAAAGTAAAAAAGCAGAACTGAGCAACATGTACTGTGTGTGTGACAAAATTAAGATCATGAACACCTGTTTGTTTGACCAGATATAGAGCACAAAGAAAAATACATCATCTGTGCTAAAGGTTGAAATAATGTTGGCTTTCATGACATTTTCACAGGTGTAACTCATAATATTAACAAACTCATTCCATTTAGATGAGCTTGTTTTCATGCAGGGAAACAGAGCCAATGTGATGAATTACACCTGCGTTTCTCATGCTGTTATGCGGTAAACAATGTCTACATGGCCAACAGTTTCATATTTGTTGTTTTGAGTGTCATGTCTTGACAACTACTTAATGTATTGTCATGAAATTTGGTTCAGACGTCAATGTTCCCCAATAAGACCTTTGGTGATCCCTTATGCTTTCATCTAGCACCATCATCAGGTTGAAATGATAATTTATCCTGCAGTTTGGTTTATGACCAAATACTTGCAAAACTGCTGGCATCCCCATCGGCCTCTGTTGTACCATTGTGTTTTTTAGGTGTTAATTATCAAATGCATGCTCAGAGGCTAAACAAATATGGTGATCATGGTAAAACTGGAATGGCTGTGGACTTTTGCAGTGTGAACAGAATAGTCAAAGTTTGCTTATATTTGGTATGTATTAACTGAGATTCATGTGGCAGTGAGTCAACATGCATAATACCAGCAGCCTGAAAATGAAACAGTGACATGGCCTTCAACCATCATTAATGTCATTATTTACACCTGTGCTTTTTCTACATGTCAATGTCACATTAATGAAAAATACTAAAAGAAGAAAAATGTATAACCTTGTTATGACAGTTTTAAGCACGTAAAAAGAGGCAGGTGATGTGGGCTTCATGTGTATCTTATTAATGAACAGGAATGAAGACGTGTGTCTACTTCCATGAAATCATTTTGCAACAGTTTGTTGCACAAAACTCCACAAACCTTCCCACTTACGGTCCAACATGTAGCTACAAGTGAACCTCTTGAGGTTTCTGTACCTCAGTGATACACACACACACACACACACACACACAGTGGGCGATGCACTGGGATCGAAGAGCTGCTTGTCTTTCAACTTGATTGTGTCTGCAATTTGACTTTTGTGTTAAAACAGAGGAAGTCAGAAATGCTTCTGTTAATCCTGAAACATGCTCACACCAACATACAGTGAAAAACTAAACAAATTTGCGGCTGTAATGTTTATTAACATTAACATTACAGCAGTGATTTATGGCAAAAAATGTCAAAAAAAAATGTCAAAAAATGTCATATTATAGCAAGGCACAAAAATGAAAAAAAACGTCATAGTATAATATGGCATAAAAATGTCAAAAAATGTCATGGTATAGTATGTCAAAAAATGCCATAGTATAGTATGGCATAAAAAGGGCAAAAATTTCATAGTATAGTATGGCATAAAAAGGGCAAAAATTTCATAGTATAGTATGGCATAAAAAGGGCAAAAATTTCATAGTATAGTATGGCATAAAAAGGGCAAAAATTTCATAGTATAGTATGGCATAAAAAGGGCAAAAATTTCATAGTATAGTATGGCATAAAAAGGGCAAAAATTTCATAGTATAGTATGGCATAAAAAGGGCAAAAATTTCATAGTATAGTATGGCATAAAAAGGGCAAAAATTTCATAGTATAGTATGGCATAAAAAGGGCAAAAATTTCATAGTATAGTATGGCATAAAAAGGGCAAAAATTTCATAGTATAGTATGG